GTGCACTACCATCTAGAACAGTGGTTTCCAAACTGTGGTCCATGGACCACCAGTGGTTCACAAGAACTAAAATATGGTCTGTGGCCTCACCATTACTACACCGTTGCAATGAGAGTGATTGGTCTTGCAAAACCCTCTTATAGTGCCAAGGCTTATTACATATGGTTTTCTGTGTGTGAGCAGATGGCAACTGCTGGATGGCATATGTTCTGTATTAGAAACTAGAGCTGATGTGTTCTATCCAATGTAATTTTCTGAATCAGCACCCAAATAATCAAACCGAATCTAAAGTTGACCAAAAACTGATTCATAACCCTTTTGGCACTAATGTTGAAGAGTGGTCCATGGTCAATGTGGTCCCTGGTCAAGTGGCTCCTGGTTAAAAAAAGTTTTTTTCCTTCCTTCCCTCCCTCCCTCTTTCTTCTCTTCTCTTTCTCTCTTTATCTTTCTTTCTCTTTTTCTTTCTTCTCTTCACATACCCATTCCCCCTCTAATATTCCCCACAACTTTTCCGTAGTTATTTTTATGTATTATCACTATGAAAACTCAATTTATATATGTGTATATATATATATATATATATATATATATATATATATATATATAAATACACACACACACACACACACACACACACACAAAAGAAAGTTTGGGAACCACTGGTCTAGAATATGAATCCTTGCCTTGAAATTAGGGCATTTGTTCAAAGTCACCCAATGGGTTTCCATGAACCCTTGTGTGATAGTTCATGGCTCAAACCACTAAATCACGCTAGGAGCATATCTGCGCTGACCAAGCAATGCTGGATGAAAGCAGTAGGAGATGAAGTGAATGTGCAGCTGATCACACATAAAGCACAGAAACTGGGTCAAAGACTGGGCAGAGCTTAAACAGACCAGAGAGCTCAGTTCAGAACGGTTCCAGGATCTGCAGTATCTACGATTTCATAGCCATAGAGGATTTATGCTTCCCCTCCAACCAAAACAAAGTTCCCACCTTAACACACGTGTAGAGCAGTGGAATATCCGTGCCTTAATTGGTTTCACCTTGCAATGTGGTTTACATTTACACGTGCTGATACACATTGTGGGGCCTATATAAGAGCATCCTGCAATTTTGTTCGTCCTAGTTTAAGACACGTCAGCTAAATGCCTTATTTTTAAAAAATTGTCTTCAATCCATGTAACGTGGTCAATGCTGAGGTACCCTTGTTCTTAAAAAAGCTCCATGCATGACGTGGCCACGTAAACAGCACCAGATTGGAATCTGGGCCTCTGTCCATCAATCTTCCCTCTCTTCACTTTTCTTCACTGCCACTAAAGTATCTGAAACATAGTCTCAGGGCCCTTCTACAAAGCCATATAATCCAGAATACCAAGGCAGATGATCCACCATATCTGCTTTGAATTGGGTTATCAGAGTCCACATTCTCAAATATTCCAGTTCAAAGCAGATAATGGGATTTTATTCAGGTGTGTGTTAGGAACCCCAGAGGAGGCAATGCAACATAAACCTCTCAGGGAGGCCTCCGGGAAAGCCCTTCGTCCTGATTCTCAGGTGTGAGAGGAAACACATGACAACCCCTCACCTTGGGTAGGTAGGAGCCTGTGGTGGCACAATGGATTAAAGATTTGTGTCGACAGGACTGCTGAATCCAAGGAGAGCGGGTTGAGCTCCCTATAGTCAGCTCCAGCTCCCCATGTGGGACATGAGAGCAGCCTCCCACAATGATGGTAAAAATTTCAAATATCTGGGTCTCCCCGGGCAACATCTCACACCAGAAGCAACATGGAGTTTCTCAAGTTGGTCCTGACACACACACAAAATGGGGATAGGTGGGCATGATTGGCCCTCACAATGGCCATCTATAGGGGGTACTTAGAGTATGTGTTTCAGTGTGACGGGGATTTGGCTGAATGGTCCTTGTGATTTCTTCGAAATCTAAGGGCCCCTTCAGATTATCAATGCAGATAATCCGCATCATCTGCTTGAAACTGGATTATATGAGTCTACATTGCCATATAATCAATTTCAAAGCAGATAATCTGGATTTTATATGGCAGTGTAGAAGGGGCCCAAGGCTGCTTTGAACTGAATTATATGGCAATGTAGACTCATACAATCCAGTTCACAGCAGTTAATCTGCTTTGATCATCTGGATTATATGGTAGTGTCAATCCAGCCTAAAATTTGATAGTTCTATGAACTCTAGTCCAGTGATTCTCTAGGCCAGGGGTAGGGAACCTTTGGCCCTCCAGCTGTGGTGGACTTCAACTCCCACAATTCCTTGAGGCTCGGCATTTGCCCCAAAGGCTTACCTTGGCCCTATGCCGAGCCTCAAGGAATTGTGGGAGTTGAAGTCCACCACAGCTGGAGGGCCAAAGGTTCCCTACCCCTGCTCTAGGCCCTTCCACACAGCCCTATATCTCAGAATATAAAAGCAGAAAACCACACAGTATCTGTTTTGAACTGGGATATCTGGGTCCACACTGCCATATATTCCAGTTCAATGCGAAAAATGTGGGGTTATATTTAGCTGTCTGGAAGGAGCCTCAGGGCCCTTCCACACAGCAATGTAATGCAGAATATCAAGGCAGAAAATCCTACAATATCTGCTTTGGAAAAGGGCCCCTTCCACACAGCTGAATAAAATCCCACATTATCTGCTTTGAACTGGAATATATGGTAGTGTGGACTCAGATAACCCAGTATAAAACAGATACGGTGGGATTTTCTGCCTTGATATTCTGGGATATAGGGCTGTGTGGAAGGGCCCCGAGTTATCTGAGTCCACACTGACGTATATTCCAGTTCAAAGCAGATAATGTGTGATTTTCTGCCTTGATGTTCTGGGTTATATGGCTGTGTGGAAGGGTCCTCAGCCTTTTCTTCACCATGGACTACCTTTTGTGGCCATGGGCCACCAAGAGCGAACTCAGGATTGGATGCACTAAGCTGCATCAAACAATTACTTCCATGTTCTCATGAAGGTCCCTCACATTTAGAGAGAAGGGGATACACTTCAAGCTTGTGAATGCAGACACAATTACTAGAATATCTGGATTATAATGATTTCACAGCAAAAAAAAAAATCATACCATGTCTTCAATCTTTGGCTGACCCCCTTGAGGATATTGCAGACCTCCAAGGTTGTGGAGCCCAGGTTGAGAACTACTGCCAGGGCCTTTCTACACAGCCCTATATCCCGGGATATCAAAATCCCACAATATCTGCTTTGAACTGGGGTCCACACTCGGATAATGTGGGATTTTTTGCCATGATATCCTGGGATATAGGGCTGTGTGGAAGGGCCCCCAGACTATCCATCCAGGGTGGAGGACAACCACCATCAATGGCAGAGGTGGGAAAACAGGGCTGATAAACATTGCCATTAGCCRCCCCCCCCCCCCCAGTTTCTTGTTGCATTGTTTTGTTTCTGGTCAATACATAAACATACTACAGAAGAATCAATCAGTCCAATGTGCTCTCCTTCTCTACCTGTGCCCCAACCAGCCATTCCTCTCTTCTCTATCCCTCGCCAGGTTCTCAAGCTTCCTCTCCCTCTTTCTCCCTTAAAGCCACCAGACCCAATCTCTCTCTCTCTCTCTCTCTCTCTCTCTCTCTCTCAGGGCCCTTCTGCACAGTCCTATATCCCAGAATATCAAGACAGAAAATCCCACAAGGTCTGCTTTGATTTGGTTTATCTGAGTCCACTTTGCCATATATCCCAATTTAACGCAGATATTGTGGGATTTTATTCAGGGCCCTTCCACACAACCCTATATCCCAGAATATCAAGGCAAAAATCCCACATCATCTGAGTGTGAACTCAGGGCCCTTCCACACAGCCCTATATCCCAGAATATCAAGACAAAAAAAATCCCACAGTATCTGCTTTGAACTGGGTACACACTCAGAGAAATGTGGAATTTTCTGCCTTGATATTCTGGGATATAGGGCTGTGTGGAAGGGTCCTGAATTCACATTCAGATGTGGGATTTTCTGCCTTGATATTCTGGAATATAGGGTTGTGTGGAAGGGCTCTGAGTTCACACACAGATGTGGGATTTTCTGCCTTGATATTCTGGAATATAAGGCTGTGTGGAAGGGCCCTGAGTCCACACTCAGATAAATGTGAGACTTTCTGCCTTGATATTCTGGGATAAAGGGCTGTGTGGACGGGTTCTGAGTTCACAATCAGATAAATGTGGGATTTTCTGCCTTGATATTCTGGAATACTAGGCTGTGTGGAAGGGCCCTGAGTCCACACTCAGATAAATGTGAGATTTTCTGCCTTGATATTCTGAAATATAGGGCTGTGTGGAAGGGCCCTGAGTTTACACTCAGATAATGTGGGATTTTCTGCCTTGATATTCTGAGATAAAGGGCTGTGTGGAAGGGCCCTGAGTTCACACTCAGATAATGTGGGATTTTCTGCCTTGATATTCTGGGATATAGGGCTGTGTGGGAGGCCCCGCAGATAACCCAGTTCAAAGCAGTCCTTGTGGGATTTTCTGCCTTGATAGCCCCCAGTGACAGGGAAAAGGGAGCCCTGGTGGGAGACAAAGCTTTGGAGAAGACCAAGAAGAATCAAGCCCAATAGCCACTCACCTAAGGTGTCCTTCGCCTCTTCTTCTATGGGTTGCGCCGTGAAGGGGAGATCCGAGGCGAAGATAGGGCAGGCCTGCGGGTGGAGACCGAAGGGACCCCCACCCAGCCGAAGAAGGCGATTGTGAGCGGGGAGGTCCCTCTCTTTGGGGGCTCACCGAGCTATCCCTCGCCAATGACAGGCGCGGAAAGCGCTGCTGGCTCCTGCTGCTCGCCTTTCCCCGCCTTCTTCCTCCACGCAAGGGTCGCCCAAAGCTGGTGTTTAGGGGGGAATCGAGCGCGCCTTGTAACCAAAGCAAGCCTTCTGGTCCCTTTCCTGCCAGATACGGAGAGCAGGTTGTGGGGAGGGGGAGGCTGTTGCTTGCTCTTCCGCCGACGCCTCGCCCCTCCCGATGCACCTTCGCCCGGGCGCCGCCCGCTCGAGAAGAACCAGGAAGGACGGCGCGAATGGCAACATGAGGAGGAGGAGGGAGAGCAAGGAGAGAGAGGAGGGAGGGAAGGAACACAGCCCTCCCCTCCCCGGATCCAGGGACTTCCCCGTCTTCCCATTGCCAGCATTCCTCAACCTGCCAGGTGGAGCCTCTTTCTCCCTCGTTGCTGCTTTTGCCTTCCGGGCTCTCCAGTCCCGCAACCCCACTTTCGGTTTGGCCCAGCGGGGAGAGCGTGTAAGGGGCTCCAGATGTTGCCGACTTCCATCCCCAGAATCCCCCACTGTTGACCAAACTGGCCGAGGCTTCTGGGAGTCGAAGTCCAATCCACCTGGAGAGCCAAAGGGCGAGGTTAGAGGACAGGGTCAGGCACCTCTCTTTACCTCTTTTGCTCTAGGGTCCCGGATGGAGCCCGGACTTAGGACTCGGATGAGCCCCCGCTCCGCTATGGAAAGCCCAGTTTGGGTGAGTCACAGGCAGGAAACTCTGCCATAGGGTCACTTTAGGGTCGCTCTTAGTCAGAGACGCCTGGAAGGCAACCGGAAACAAAGAGCTCCTTTCTTTAATAACAATAATCCAAATAATAAATCTTTGGGTTGTTGTGAGTTTTCCAGGCTGTATGGCCATGTTCCAGAAGCATCCCCTCCAGACGTTTCACCCACATATATGATAGACATCCACAGAACTTGTGAGATCTGTTGGAAACTAGGCAAGTGAGATTTATATACTTAGGCGATCCCTCGTTGTCCGAGTAGGGTAGTCTTCCAGGGTCAGTGTCCTGGCGGTGGGGCCATAGGTGACTGTGGAGCCCAATTCTTGATCTGCATCTTCTCCCACAGTGAGGGCATTGGCTTCCAGGTGGAAGGCGGTCCCAGTCGGGGTTGGCTTGACGTGCCTTCCGCTTGGCATGTTTCTCTCTTTCACCCTCCATTCGTGCCTCTTCAAATTCTACAGCACTGCTGGTCACAGCTGACCTCCAGCTGGAGCGCTCAAGGGCCAGGGCTTCCCAGTTCTCAGTGTCTATGCCAGAGTTTTTAAGGCTGGCTTTGAGCCCATCTTTAAATCTCTTTTCCTGCCCACCAACATTCCGTTTTCCATTCTTGAGTTCGGAGTAGAGCAACTGCTTTGGGAGACGGTGGTCGGGCATCCAGACAACGTGGCCGGTCCAGCGGAGCTGATGGCAGAGGACCATTGCTTCAATTCTGGTGGTCTTTGCTTCTTCCAGCACACTGACATTTGTCTGCCTGTCTTTCCAAGAAATTTGCAGGATTTTCCATAGGCACTGCTGATGGAATCGTTCCAGCAGTTGCATGTGACGTCTGTAGACAGTCCATGTCTCGCAGGTGTATAGCAGGGTTGGGCACACAATAGCTTTATAAACATGCACCTTGGTATCCCTGCGGATGTCCCAGTCCTTAAACACTCTCTGCTTCATGTGGGAAAAAGCTGCACTTGCAGAGCTCAGGCGGTGTTTTATTTCAGTGTCAATGTTGACTTTTGTGGAGAGGTGGCTGCCAAGGTAGCGGAAATGGTCAACATTTTCTAATGTTAAACCATTAAGCTGTATCGTTGGCATTGGAGAGGGATTGGCTGGTGACTGCTGGAAGAGCACTTTGGTTTTCTCAGTATGACAGGCCGAGCTTCTCATATGCTTCTGGAAAGGTCTTTAGAGTGGCTTGAGGTTTATATCCGTAGAATGTCCAAGGTGGGAGAAATTACTCTTGTCTGTTTGAGGCAGGCGTGAATGTTGCAGTCGGCAACCTTGATGAGCATTTAACAGCCTTGCAGCTTCAAAGCCTGGTTGGTTGCTGCCTGGGGGATCCTTTGTTGGGAGGTGTTAGCTGGCCCTGATTGTTTCCTGTCTGGAATTCACCTGTTTTTTGAGTGTTGCTCTTCCTTTACTGTTCTGATTTTAGAGTTTTTTAAAATACTGGTAGCCAGATTTTGTTCATTTTCATGGTTTCCTCCTTTTTGTTGAAATTGTAAACATGCTTGTGGATTTCAATGGCTTCTCTGTGTAGTCTGACATGGTAGTTGTTAGAGTGGCCCAGCATTTCTGTGTTCTCAAATAATATGTTGTGTCCAGGTTGGTTCATCAAGTGCTCTGCTATGGCTGACTTCTCTGGTTGAGTTAGTCTGCAGTGCCTTTCATGTTCCTTGATTCATGCTTAGTAACCAGGCTTTGAAACTGCAAGGCCATTCAATGCTAATCAAGGTGACCAATTGCAACTTTCACACTTGCTTCCAACAGACAAGAGTTCTTCCTCCCATCCTGGATATTCCAGATATATGAACCCCACTTGCCTTGTTTCTAACAGACCTCACAACCTCTGAGGATGTCTGCTGTAGATGTGGGTGAAACATCAGGAGAGAATGCTTCTGGAACATAGCTATACAGTCTGGAAAACTCACAGCAATCCAATTAAAGGACATTTTATGGTCAGATATATCTACAATCCTTATATCTAAATTCAAAGTCCAATCTCCTGACTAAACAGAACAAGTTGCAGCCTTCCAGATGTAACTGTATCACAACTCCCATCAGTTCTAGTTATTGATGAGGAACATCAAAATTGTAGTCCAGCATCTGGAAAGCCACATAAAATGGCATGGTGGGGTGGATCTGACCCACTGGCCTTGGGTCACACATTTTCTCCCACCCCATTTATGAAGTAAGGAAAGCATTACAGCTTTCCTTGGTGATCCTACGGTGAATCTATCCAGAGGTTTTCTTAGCAAGAGTTGCTTTTGCCTTCCTCCGAGGTTGAGAGAGTGTGACTTGCTCAAGGTGGCTTTCCATGGCTGACATGAATTTGAATCCTGATCTCCAGAGTTATAATCCAACACTCAAATCACTACACCACACATCTTAAAGGATAGTCTGATCCTTTGTGTATGAATGCAGGTTGTCTGTGGTTCTGTGGCGACCCCATAGGTTTTTCTTAGGCAAGGGATACTCAGAATTGGTTTTGCCAGGCTCTTCTCCTGAAATAGAGACTGTAGCACCTGATTATTCATTGGTGATCTCCCATTAAACTTCTACAGTGGGTTAAACTGCTGAGTTGCTAAACTTGTTGACCGAAAGGTTGCAGGTTCAAATCCAGGGAGCGGCATGAGCTTCTGCTATCAGCCCCAGCTTCTATCAACCTAGCAGTTCAAAAACATGCAAATGTGCAAATCAATAGCTACCGCTCAGGCAGAAAGGTAACAGCACTCCATGCAGTCATGCTGGCCACATGACCTTGGAGGTATCTATGGACAATGCCGGCTCTTCGTCTTAGAAATGTAGATGAGCACCAACCCCCAGATTTCGACATGACTGGACTTAATGTCAGGGGAAAACCTTTCCCTTTACTAGACTCTCTTTATAAGCAATTTCTCCACTCTGCTTAATACAGGGGTCCTCAAACTTTTTAAACAGAAGGCCAGGTCACAGTCCCTCAAACTGTTGGAGGGCTGGATTATAAATTGGAAAAAAAATGAATGAATTCCTATGCACACTGCACATATCTTGTTTGTAATGCAAAAACTAATTTTAACAAATATAAATTTATTCGTATTTCAATGGGAAGTGTGGGCCTGCTTTTGACTGATGAGATAAGATTGTTGTTGCTGCTGTTGTTGTGTGCTTTCAAGTCATTTCAGACGTAGGTTGATCCTGAGTGAGGGCCGGGTAAAGGACCTTGGAGGGCCACATCCGGCCCCCAGGCCTTAGTTTGGCTTAATATATAGAATGGAAATGACACTGGCAAAGAGTCCATAGATTTATTTGGCTTATCGATTTCAGCCCACCAAAGTGATTCCAACCAATTGTTTGCTCAACCTATTTTTAAAGCAGGTCATAGTCCAAACTTAGGGAAGGATTGGAATACTCCTAGGTATTGTTTCTGATCTCACCACTTGTCTACCTGTCAGGAGGAGAGGTTTTGATTACATAACACAAATAATACAAATTTTGTTTCTGGGTTATAAATGCCATTCCCTAATGGGTTCTATCTTTAAAAACATGGTAAAAAGTTTATTAAACTGCAAAAACTTTGTTTTTGCAGGACATTCTACAGCACATTTTGGTATAGATTTTTGATGAATATCTCATAGTCTCAATCAATTCAACATAGTTTGTGGCAGCCACAAAGACAAAGTTTCTGGAGTATAACAACTACTTTCAAAATGAGTACTACAAAGTTAAACAGGAAGTAACACTTTCAAACCAGGAACAGATAATTTTTCAAATGTTCTTACATAGTGTAATTTATGCTGAGCCCATAGTCCAGCCTGCTGTCTCAAGTGTGTTAGTCCCACTTATATATATTGAAAGGAGTGTGATCTTAAAATAACAACAACAATAATAATTTTATTTCTTACCCACCTCTCCTCACACCTCAAGGCGACATATAGCATCATTAAAACACACTGATAAAAAACAAGACAATTAAAATACACACACATATATATGTTAGAAGTGATGGCACAATGATTTTGTGTGTGTGTGTGTGTGTCAGGAGTGAATTGAGAAACTGCAAGTTGCTTCTGGTGTGAGAGAATTGGCTGTCTGCAAGGATGTTGCCCAGGGGATGCAGAGTCGCAGGAAGAAGAAACGGGGTGCTCTTGCTCTTCCCGCGTCTTCCCTCCTGAAGCCACATGCTTTTGCTTCATGGCCTAAAAAAGGGAAGAGGTTCTTCAACCGAGTTCTCCCAGCCCTGAAGGGGGAAGAGGGACAGGAGAAGAGTTGGATTCTGGGAGGAGAGAACACAGCCAGATGCTCTAGATGAGAAGTCCTTTAGTGCAGACCTTCACTGCCAACGCTTCTGGTGCTTCCACTATGAGGAGACCTTGAGGCCCTGAGAAGTTTGCAGCTGCTTCCACTCTCTCTGCCGCCTGTGGCTGAAGCTTGAGCGACACTCCAAGGTGGAGATCTTGTACCTGGTGATCCTGGAGCAGTTCCTGGCCATCCTTCCTGTGGAGATGGAATGTTGGGTGAGGGAATGTGGGGCAAAAACCAGTTCCCAGGCCATGGCCTTGGCTGAAGGCTTCCTCCTGAGTCGGGCAGAAGAGGAGAAGGCACTGCAGGAAGTGTGGCTAGAGAGAGAGGTCCTTCAGGCCCAGAATGCCTGGATGTTTTACCATCCTGTAGGAGGCTCATGTCCTCGCATGAGAAGCTGGAGCTGACAGACAGAAGCTCACCCAACATCCTGGATTTGAACCTCTGACCTTACAGTCAGCAGTCCTGTTGGCACAAGGGTTTAACCCATTTACCATTGGCGGCTCCTTGGAACAAAGATAAAAACACACTAAAATCATGCATGCCAGTGACGTCTCCATTTAAAATTCATAGCTTATTTTTTCTCCTATCATCCAAATTCTGTTTGTTGCAGAATGTCTGCTGAACAGTCATGAGCAATTCTTCAGAGTCCCCTTGTCTACAAGAAGATGACACACATGCTCAGCAGCTATCACTGTTCAGT